CACACACACACACACACACTACACAAACACACACTTTACATACACACTGCATTACATACACACACTGCACAAACACACACACTGCATTACATACACACACAAAAACACACTGCATTATACACACACAATACATAAACACACTGCATTATATACACACTACACACACTGCATTATATACACACTACATTCATTATACACACACTACACACACACTCTGCATCCACTACACACACAGTTCCCCTGTCTAAAAAACACTTCATCCACTACATGTGGCATGTATATTTTGTGCATTTACCTTTCGAATTAGTTTATTTATTCAAAATAGTAAATGTACAGAATATCGGCAAGATATCGGCTATCGGCCTGAAAGTTCGCAGATTATCGGTATCGGCTCTAAAAAATCAATATCGGTCGATCCCTAATTTGTATGATGCCAGGAGTACCCTGGCCCAATTGGTTTTGCCCTCTTACATGGGTCTCCACCAGGCTCCTAGCTCCTCTATTGTCGAGCTTCCAGCTTGTACAGGGCTGCAGATGCCAATCTAAAAAATGTGCACAGAATTGGCATTAGCCAGGCCAGAACTAATGACACCCCAATGATGCTGGAGATGGAGTTACACCTCTGGCAGCTAAGGTAAACTCCATATGTGTAACTTTCAAAGTAAAATACTGAATTCACTGAAGTGGTCATGGTGCTTTGAAGTCTATTAAAGAATTGCTCATGATCATTTATAAGCAATTTCCATGTTGTGGTTTACATACTCCTGAGACTCTGGACCGTTCCTCTCCTCTATATCTTTCTCAGCAAAATAGGGGTTAGATAGTCTCAATCTTTATACAAGGACAAGGAACTGCTGCACAACACATACTCCACTCTCCCAGAGAAACGGCAGCATAATTGAGGGGACAATTATCGAAAAGCAATGATCTAAAAATGATATCGTTGTAATAAGGGCAATATTAACTAAATACCAGAAAAATTGTCATTGTTTTAGTTCATTCTGTCAGATTAATTTTAATTTTTTTCCCATCTGACTGAAGTTCATGTTTAATTTGTTCAACCGAAAATTGGTAAAAATGTTTGCTGGCACTGAATTTTGTTTGACTGTAAATCTCTATGGCCTGCTAGTAATAGCAGCCAACAGACAAATAGTTATATTAACCCTTGGTGGCGCGCATTAAACTAATTCCTATAAAACGAAAACTAATACTTTTTTCTTAAAAATCTTATCTTCAGCCCCCAAAAAAAGGCCAAATTAATACCCCTAATATGCGGCGCAACAAAATAAAATTAAAAAAAAACAGACAGAAAAAAACCTTACCCAGTGCAATAAAATAAATCTAAGTTCGCCCTTCTGGGAGCTTGTATAGTGGGAAAAGCCCTATGTTTTTCCATCAGATTTTTTTGTGAATTTGGGTGTGTCTCATATTATGGATATTAATTTGACTTTTTTTAAGAACTGAAGAATAGAAGATTTAGAACAGGTAAGTCTGTTTTTTTTAATTTTTTTCAGGTATGTTATGGGGTCGGTAGGTTTAATTTAAGGGGGAAGTGGCTAGGACTTGGGGACCTCTAGCCCCGTGGGGGAGTGGACAATCCCACTTTTGTGGGCATGGAAGGTCACTATGTCACCCTATTTTATTTTTTTAATTAAAAAACTTGCTCATATCATTGGTACACATTGGATGGTCAGTGATCTTTCCAACCCCTATTCTTTAAATTGGGGATAACAACAGCAACATGCAACAGCTGTGAAGTTGCTTGTTTTTATTACAGAGAGCAGCCATTGACTTGCTGTTTAGCATCCATGGCATGGCAAGTAGTGGATGTTGTTAAAAATGTGTTAGTGTATTAAAATAAATTGGGTAAGAAAATCATGAAAAACTCACAGAAGAGTTCTGATTGTTGATCATTCCCCAAAACAAAGTGTCTCTTCGAACATTTGAAATGAAGAAAGACATACAGACTAGTAATGTTTAACGCTTTCATCTCACTGTCATAAAACACCCCCATCCTGGTTAAAGTATATATTTTCATATTATTATCAATTGTAAGGCTGAAATGGAAATATGTTAACTGTCATATATACAAAGGCTTATTATCTAAATATTGTAAGGTAAGGTACCTCCATGATGCATATTGTGAAGGCCATGGGGCTATGAAGGAATGTCAGATCACACATCACGTAGTATATGTGAATCCCATATCATATATTTTCACATACCTGTTGAGGAAATGAGAAATCAGTACAGTTTAAACTTTGGTTATCTGATACATCTCAGTGAGAAAATGAAGCACCCCTATTTTTCAGAATGGGTTACTCCAAGCATCAGAACCACTACACCCTCCTCCTCTAGTCCATCTCTAATGGCTCTGCATGGAGATGCTAAGCACTCCTTGTAGAGAAGTGTCCATTTGATTCCTCTCTATAAAGTGATGCTGATTGGCCCAGTGCAGCGATTTGCCACGCATGTACATCAACCTCCCAATGCTTCCTTACAGAGAAGTATTAATTGGCAGAGATCCTGAAGACTGATGATCCCAGCCAAGGAGGTAAGACTAACATCGCAATGATAGATGTATGATAAGTAAGACTATTTATTTATTGCAAGATGGGGGTAGATATTCAAATAGTATTGGTAAAAATAATTTAGGCTAAATTAGACTGTGCAAAACATCTGCTAAAATTATAAATGTCACCCATTCTAAGTTGCTGTGAAACAGTCTTCATACCAAAATACTAACTCCACCTTTACAATATTGTATATCTATGTGAATGCTCCAGTTAGCATTAGTCACAATAGATTGTTTCCCATTATATTACCCTGGAATCACCTTGAATCTAGTGAATTTAATGAGAGGGCACTTCTTATGAACCAAGTCACTTCTTTTTTGAGAGAACAGACGCTGGAGGGACACAGGTGGCAGTTCTCTTGGATGTATTTCTCACCTTTCTCGGTAGGTTCAGATCTCATAGACAAAGATATTGAATTCTGCTCCCACATTTCTTAAAGGGACACTATAGTCACCTGAACAACTTTATCTTAATGAAGCAGTTTTGGTGTATAGAACATGCCCCTGCAGCCTCACTGCTTAATCCTCTGCCATTTAGGAGTTAAATCCCTTTGTTTATGAACCCTAGTCACACCTCCCTGCATGTGACTTGCACAGCCTTCCATAAACACTTCCTGTAAAGAGAGCCCTATTAAGTTCTGTTTAATTAAGATACAATTATTTAAGGTAAATTACATTTGTTTGAAAGTGAAACCTGTTTTATTTTTCATTCAGGCTTTGTCAATCATAGCCAGGGGAGGTGTGGCTAGGGCTGCATAAACAGAAACAAAGTGATTTAACTCCTAAATGACAGTGAATTGAGCAGTGAAATTGCAGGGGAATGAGCTATACACTAAAACTGCTTTATTTAGCTAAAGTAATTTAGGTGACTATAGTGTTCCTTTAAATCAAATTGCCCATTAATCCATTTGTGTGTGGTATCTCTATAAGGTTTCAGTATGGATTGCTGGATTGTGTTCTTCTTCATGGCCAGATGTCACAACCCAAACTCATCAATTGCATCCATTGCTCATGGAATGTCTCCGCTCCCTCCTATAAATTTCCAGTTACACACTGTGCATTATAGTCACTGGAATGAGTGCTGTAAAACAGTGGTTCTCAAACCAGTCCTCATGGCCCACCAACAATCCTGGATTTATGTATTTCCCTGTTTTAAATCCAAAACCTGGATTGTTAGGAAACACTGCTGTAGAAGATGCTGTCACTGTTGATGTCCAAGTCTCAGGTGCTGAAATTGCTAAGGAAACAGTTTGTGACCGCTGGGGATAATACAAGTGTCACAGATGATGTGAGCTAGCACAAGTGGTTCAGGTCCTGTGAAGGGCTACCACTGTAACTGCTCAAAGAGGTAGGTGCTGATGGTGCAAATGTTACATTGTATACTGAAGTACATTCTTCTTCTGTCAGGCTCTAATTCATGGTGAAGCTTCCCAATATGAAAATATTCCAGTGGAGACGTGGCTGGTTTGCAAACATTTGGGCCCTAATACTAGCACCACCAGGTTTATTGAGTGCCAGTACTGCATTTGTTTTTTTTTTGGTCCTAAACATTTCCCTGACTGGCTTTAAAGGACAACTGTGATCAAATTTTCACTTTTCATTTTTTAAATATATATAAATAAATATATATATATAAATTATTTTTTAATTATTTTGACTATCCACTAAGGAACAAGTGCTCCTCAACATGATCAACCTAGCAGCACGCTGGTCAATGGCACAATCAAGGCTGAAGTACGAGGTCCTGTTCATGTCACAGGTTTCTCAAAAATAACTATTCAATGGACAAGTTGATAGCGCAGATCAGATACTCTTTAACCACATTTTACAAGGTTTTCGGCTCCATGGTAGCAATATCATAGCCAATGACGCACTCAGGAGTTGGGCCCACAGGGATTTTGCCTATCAACCCTCTGCATTATTAAAAATTTAAATCTTGAGGTTTATTCTTTTTAAGGTTCACGAACCTCTTTCATTTGTATGTTATCTTCTGATCTACAAGCAAACACACTAAATCCCCTAGCATAAAACTCCTACGGTATGTACTGAAGATTAACTTTTTAATGGTATTATGTATGGCTATTTCATAATATCAAAAAAATTGAAATAGGTACTAGCGCTAATATGATGGAGGTAAAAAAGTATATAATATAAAATGAAAATATCAAATAAGAATATCAGCTGCTAAACACTGGATAGAAGTAACTTTCCCATGAGACAAAAGGTATACAATAAACAAAAAGATAGTGTAGCGCTTATGTGTAACAATGTAAATAGTAGTTACCTTAATGATAAATAGTAATCTACATCCAGATACAATCAATATAATGTAGTGGACCAGATGGGATCAAACTCTGAAATAGTACAAAGGAAATACCCACATAGTGTAAAACCGTTTAAACAATATAGATATTAAAAATAATCTTAGGAACACTCACAAACATAGAGCTATAAACCTAGCTCTGGTGTGGTTGGCTTCGGGTCCGTTACGGCGACCCACCCCTATGAAGAGATCTGTGTGTGGTCCTAGGAAAGTTGGAAAAACCACAATAGGGTAGCACAGTTGATGTTCAAATAAGAGAAGTGGTAAGTAATAAATGTACTTACAAACCTAGAGCCCCTATGGCTCTGTAGTCGTGCAATGTGTAGTGAGGGACTACACTCCTTCTTTGTTTATTGTATTTCATAATATCGCAAGCCCATTCACATACACTAACGACTGAATGATATTGCATCACATGAATGCCTGTAACTAAATAAAGAATTAAAAAGAGAGAAGTGAAAAACTGATGACAGTTTTCCTTAACATTACATTACTAAACACACAACTAACTACTCACATGTTTTGCCAAAAATATATAATTAACCACACATATATAACTCATACCCATCACAAACATCTGGTTTGCAACATACATAATAAATATTCCATACTTATATATACAGACAGACACTCAGACTTCCACTAATTAATCGTGCTCCCTCTCCTTCCTGTGCTGCTCATCCTTGTCGGCGATTGAGGGAAAACAGAGAGACTCCAGTCTGCTATCCATGGTGACTAAAGGTATGGCTATAGCCACCCAGACAACTTCATCTTAATTAAGTGTTCTGAGTGCAGTCTCCCTATCCTATTAACCCTGCAATGTAAAACAATGCGTTTTTTTTTAGAAACTGCAATGTTTACATTAAACAGTAAAATCCACCTCTAGTCACTGTCAGTATGACAATGTTAAAAACAATTAAATAAATAAAAAATATACTACGATTCCTTGTTTGAAGTAGCAAACTGCTACCCCCTCTAGAAGTCCCCTTGCTCCAATGGATCCACTGAGGCCCCAATATGGAGGGGTAGTTCGGCCACCAATGAGTGCCGCTTAGGAGTGGGCCCCTTGTTATTTTGGCATGAAAGATGGTGAATGTAAAATTTGAGTCCTCTTTGTTGCAGGAAATGGTTTTGAGGTTGCGTCCAATTTGCTGTGGAGATATCTGACCTGGTTCAGTCACGTTGTTTATAAAAGTGCATATAAAATGTCCATTAAACATTAGCAATACAATAATGATTCTGTGCTCATGTGAACATAGCATAATTAAACTGCAGCAAAAACATGTGACTATAGCAGCTAGCTTTTTTATGATTGTATAACTGAAGGTAGGCAATATGAGGGCCTAAGATTTAATGTTATGGTAGTTTACGGTAAGGGAGTGTTTAGGTTTAAATTGAAGCCTTGTATAGTAGGTATTTTGGGGATAATTACACAAGGTTCAATATGGCAAGTTTAATAATATTTGCATTTTGATTTCTGTTGTTTTTTTATGCCAGTACATGTACTTCAGCAGCCAATATCTGCTTCCTAATGCTTCTTGGAACCGACATTCTAACACTATCCTTTCCATCTGTCTGTTAACTGGATATTGTTGAGTGTTTTTATTGTGTGCAGCCAAATTTTACAGTTTTCCTGCATTCCTCTTATGGGTGACACGAGGCTCAGGATATACAAAAAAAAAAGTTATTTACATTTGAAGGGGAAATAAAAAAGCTGGCCAAACATTGAATCCATGGCAGTGCAAGACAGGGCTGCCAGTGGAGTCCATAGGACAAATATCTTCTAGATTGTATTTTGCACCAGTTGCTTTGTCAGAAGGGCTTCAAAACTTAAATATTAATTACTATATTCCACTTGTTTGCAGTACAGAAGACAAAATATAGAAACACAATGCTGAACATGTTTTGTGCCATAAGGTGTTTTATCAACAGCTGTCGACAAATAGTCTTGAGGCAAAATAATGATGTATGTTTTTATGAATAAAAGAACTACTAGGACTACTGAACTGGAAAGTCTGAGAAGATGGCAGAACACCGTGGAAGGCTGGCATTTAACACACAGAGTAGGGACCTGTGGCACGTCTATCAGGCATGTGCCTGTTGGGAAACCTTGTCCTCGTCAATCCCTATAGACCTAGATGAGATGCTCCAGATTTTGCCCATGAATCCATTTGGTTTTTATTTAGTTTCATTATTCAAGTGATTTGTTCATTTATCTTTTGGACAAATAGTTTTAAAAATAGTTTTAACAATATATATATACCACAACAAGAAGACATAGTCTTAAATTAGAGGGGCAAAGGTTTACAAATAATATCATGAAGTATTACTTTACTGAGAGGTTAGTGGATGCATAGAATAGCCTTCCAGCTGAAGTGGTAGAGGTTAACACTGTAAAGGAGTTTAAGCATGCGTGGGATAGGCATAAGGCTATCCTAACTATAAGATAAGGCTAGGGACTAATGAAAGTATTTAGAAAATTGGGCAGACTAGATGGGCCGAATGGTTCTTATCTGCCGTCACATTCTATGTTTCTATATTAATTGCAGAACACATTCAGAAAGCTTACTTAATCCTTTAACGGTTTTCTCTATTTCAGCTACCCATTGTAGCATCTTCCATAGTTTCTTTGTACTTCCTGGAGCTGACAGATATATTCCGTCCAGCGCAAGGCGGGTTCCAGTGCCATGACCGTTCACTCTCCATGCCATATGTCGAGAGCAATGAGGAACTGATTCCGCTTCTCATGTTGCTTAGTCTTGCATTTGCTGCCCCTGCTGCATCTGTGAGTAAATTATCAAAATGCCATGGTGGTGTAGAGGAGGGAGGCTAGATACTCTTTATTCGCAAATCTTTCTATCTTCCCATTAGATTATGATTGGCGAAGGAGTCCTATACTGTATTCAGTCCAAACTCAAGGGTCGTGGAAGTTCTGAGGGAAGTATCAACGCAGGAGGCTGCAATTTCAATTCTTTTCTACGCAGAACAGTGCGTTTTGTGGGTAAGTGACATGGGAGTAAGTGGGGAAAAAGTGATTGTGTGCATTGTCCTTAAAATATCAACTTTTCTGCACATACCTAGGTGTCCATGTCTTCGGGCTGTGTGCCACTGCCTTGGTCACTGACGTAATTCAGCTAGCTACCGGATACCATGCTCCATTTTTCCTAACCGTTTGCAAACCTAACTATACCCGGCTTGGAACATCTTGTGCCTCTAACCCATATATTACCCAGGACATCTGCACTGGCAATGACCAGCAAGCCATCCTGTCTGCAAGGTAAATTTGTCACTTATTTCAATAGTTTTCTCAATAAATAACAACAAGTTCTATGGTGGAATGATAGAACCCGTGCCATATCTACTTGAAAAGAAAATATGAGCATATTTCAGAGGTTGAGTTTCTTTGTTTATATGCATTATTTATTATAAACAAGATGGTAAATTGGCCAGAGGGAGTTTTGTCAATGATCAGTTAACAGGACCAGCAAGACTCAGCCCATTTCTCAGGATTACTTAAGGAACTGGTCTTTTTTCTCCTGTCTTTTCTTCAAGCCCTCTGGGTCCTTAGAATACTCGACCGGGTACCTCCATCAATCGCTGCTTCCTAGTAATCCTTAAGTACCATAAGCACCATACCGGACACCATAACCACCGTAAAGCGCATAAACTGCCGCAGCTTGGTTGGGGTCTCGCTGTCCTCCAGCCACCCTGGACCCAAGACCAGGATCCAACTTCCAGTGGGTAGACCTCTCCTAGCCCAGAGAGCAAAGCAGACTGCTCTTACAAGAGCAAGTGTTGTAATGCAAGGGAGTATAGTGATTATAGCAATCCCAAGAGTGAATATAGCTCTTTAATCCCCCAAACATGAGCCTAGACATCATGAAGGAGTAAAATGTTCTGTTTAATGGCAGTCACAACTGGCCTTATATGCAGGTCCCCATGCAAGGGGTACACCCCACTGGACTGGAGAGTAGACTACAGTAAAAACATACACACGACTACATTGGCTCTCAGGTCCAGGACACTCCCACACAAAACAAAATAATCCCTCCTCTGTGCCTGGGAGATAATTGAGTTAGGAACTATACTAAACTCAACACACAGACAGGGCCAGACTGGGGATACAAAGCAGCCCTGGAAGAAAAAAAAATCTATGCCAGCCCTATAAGTCATTGCGCCACGTATTGTCACATGTAATACGTACGGCTATGTCTTGCCACCCCAGATGCTTGAGTCATATATAAATACATATTATATATATATATATATATATATATATATATATATATATATATATATATATATATATATATAAATAATATGTATTTATATATGACTCAATCATCAGGGGTGGCAAGTCATAGCCCCTTACATATTATTGATCAATATATATATATTTGTTTTTTTCTAATATAAAATATTCCTTTCAGAGTCAAACATTTAGTTATACAGTAAGCATACTCACATGGAGACACAGACAATCTCACTGACATACGCAAGCTCATTGATACACAGACAGGATCACTCACTAGCAGGCACACACACACACAAGCTCTCTCACTAGCAGACACACACAGACAAGCTCTCACTAGCAGACACACACAGACAGGGCTGGCGCCACCGTTAGGTGAACTAGGCATTCGTCTAGGGCGCCGGCCTGCTGGCATACGTTTAGTATGCCGGGGCCGGAATGACGTCATATTCCGGCTCACGGCATCACAGAGGGTGCGTGAGGGAGGAGTGAGAGGCTGCAAGAACAGCCTCCCTCGTCGCCTTCTCCTTCCCCCCTCTCCTCCGGTCACCAGGATTTGATGGCATTGCAGGCACCTGTCATCAAGGTAAGAAGGTGCCTGCTCTGCCATACTGTGACAGGGCTCACCCTGTCTTGGGCCGAAGAGCTGGGCGTGCGGCTCTAGAGCCGCCCCCCCCCCCTCAGTACCGGGCCGCTCCTCCATGCACCCAAAGGTGGGGGCGCCCAGAAGAGCCCTGTCACAGTATGGCAGAGCAGGCACCTTCTTACCTTGATGACAGGTGCCTGCAATGCCATCAAATCCTGGTGACCGGAGGAGAGGGGGGAAGGAGAAGGCGACGAGGGAGGCTGTTCTTGCAGCCTCTCACTCCTCCCTCACGCACCCTCTGTGATGCCGTGAGCCGGAATATGACGTCATTCCAGCCCCGGCATACTAAACGGCGGGCGGGAGGAGTGAGGATCTGCCCCACACTGGATCCTAGGGAGGTGAGTGTTTAAGTGTTTGTCAGTGAGTGTGTGTGTGTGTCACTGAGTGTCTGCCTGTGTGTGTGTGTATGTCTGTCAGTGAGTGAGTGTATGTCTGTCACTGAGTGTCTGTCTGTGTGTGTGTCTGTCTCTCAGTGAGTGAGTATATGTCTGTCAGTGAGAGTGTGTGTGTGTCAGTGAGTGAGTATATGTCTGTCAGTGAATGTGTGTGTCTGTCAGTGACTGAGTGAGTGTATATCTGTCAGTGAGTGTGTGTGTCAGTGACTGAGTGAGTGTATGTCTGTCAGTGAGTGTCTGTGTGAGTGTGTATGTCAGTGAGTGAATGTCTGTCAGTGTGTGTGTATGTCTCTCAGTAAGTGTTTGTCAGTGAGTGAGCTCACTCACTAGCAGACACACACACACAGACAAGCTCACTCACTAGCGGGCACACACACACACACAATCACTGTCATGGCTGAAGCTTACCTGGTAGGTGAAATTTCCCTTTTGTAGTGGGGCTTGCACGAGGGAGGCGGAGCTATGTTCAGGAAGCGGTGCTTGTGTGCGGAGGCGGGGCATGCAGCCGAAATTTATGTAAATTGTGCTGGGAGACTGATCAGGGCTGTCAGACCGGCCCCAGGTGCTGCGGGCCACCGGGAATTTTCCCGGTATCCCGGTGGGCCAGTCCGGCCCTGCACACAGAAAACATACATTTAACAACATCCCGGAAGTACCCCCTGATCTGGGGGACCAACATATCCAGACATCACCCAGATCGGTTCAGGGGTTCGGGATTTCCATGGAAGTCATAATTTTGACCGACCGTTTGCATGGTCCTATGCCCAAAACAGTTCCAGGGAATCAGGGCTAACTGTCGGTCTCTCTTTCTGGTGTACAAATGTACAAAAATCATATGAACGGAGCCTTTTAAAGTGCATTGGGTAAGGTATATAGCAGGGCCCATAGTCCTGAGGCAGGAGGCTAGCCAGCAGGCCCCTCCAAGAACCCGTGACGAGGTTCAGTTCATCACACATACCATGACATCACACACGCATGAGCAGTGCCATCATGGTTTACCACAGAGAATCATTGTCTTCAATGATTCTTCATAGCAGATTGATAGGCACATCACACTGAGCACCTTGCATGCGCCTAAAATCCCCAATGCTCCTCTATGAGGAGCATTGGATTGGACTATCATACTGGAGGCATGCCTGGATGACATCAGACAAGGAGAAGGCAGCAGTAGCACCGAAAGAGACAGCACTGGAGAGAAGGTAAGTGATTTTTTGCCATTTTAAATACAATAACTGAGGGGACACTGAAACTAAGCATATGTTAGGTATACACATATGTATTCATAGTGCTACAGAGTTCCTTTAAGACTTTACTCATGCTTTAGTAGGAATATCCACTTTGGGGCTGTTGGAGCATATGATGATACCCTAAAATATCTGTAAGGATTGTGTTAGTTTTAAGCAGAACAAAAGCTAGGTAGAAATTAAAAACAAAAAAACATCTTGGGGGCGTATCCTAACTGCCGAGCCGGGAGGTCGCAACTCGCCAGAGCTCTGGCGAAAAAGTGCCCAAACGGGGGTATATACCACTCGTACCGAGCCCATCCACAGCCAGGCCACTCACCAGAGGCTGGAGGGACACCCGGTGAACATTTACACCGCGACGAAAGAGTCAGCTCCGACATCGGCGGCAACACAAACCGCGGCCTACCACGTGTGCGCAGACGGGAGGTGGCCAGCCCCGCCGATCAGGTACCTGAAGGCTTAAAGGCCAGTGTTGACCCCACCAGAGACCATGCCGGCAAGGGTAATTGCTGGCACCCCTAACAACTTACAGCGACTATGGGGCGCAAACACAAGATACTGATGCAGATAGAAAGGCAAGCGCTTCAGGACATAAGGCTATCCTTCGAGAGGGCACCCCTGCCAGAACCCGCAAGGGTGGCACTGGCACCCGACCATTACAGTGAGCAAGGGGCCTCAGATGACTCCCCTGGGGAGATCGAATCAAGTAACTCTCCTCACCCAGCTGGTGTATATCTGCAAGCTGACTCAGACGAAGATTCATCCCCATCCACAAAAGGAGACATTAAAAAGTTATTAGTGGATCTAAGGGAAGTGTGGAAGTCAGACCTCCAAGAAACGCAAGCTGACATAAAGGCCTTGCAGCATACAGTATCAGCGGCTGAGGTCAGAGAACAAGCTCGGGATACTCAACTCAAGTCGACTACACAACGGGTGGAGTGTCTCGCCTCACAGGTCAAACAACTGCACAAAATAGTGACCACACTGGAGTCCCGGCACCGGAGATGAAATGTACGCCTGAGAGGCATACCTGAACAGGTAGAGGGGGGAGACATGCTGTCATATGTCCAAAAGCTGATTATCTCAATGGGAATTCGAAAGGCGACAGACACCCCATGCATCCTAGCTGCTTTTCGGGTGCGCAAAGCCGCAGCGGCGCCAGCGGACGCACCGAGAGATATTATTGCAACTACCAAAGATATTGCGGTGCGGTCCGCCATCCTGAATAAATCCAGAACAATGGGTCGAGTGCATTTCGAGGACCATAACCTATCCATCTACAGTGACCTCCCATTCCTGTCCTAGCAGAAAGGAGGCAGCTGGCACCGGTGGCTAAGAAGTTGCGAGACTGCTCAGTCAAGTACCGCTGGAACGCAGAAGGCTCCCTGGCCGTCACACGAGGCGCGGAAACACTCACCCTGACATCCTCGGATGACCCAGAGACGCTCTATCATAAATTAGGCCTATCGGCCACCAACGCATTAGAGGGTGCAACCAGGGCAGATACACCACGTGAGAAAAGAACCTCAGGAAGAGCGCACCAGCGGAGAAGCCCGACTAAACAACACGTACCTACCGTCAGGGACAGTTCGGACACTCCATAGCAATTGCTAATAGCCGGACTATAAACTAATTATACTGACTTATGTGGTCAACTGCTACACTTAACCTAAGGACCAATGCTATTGTTTTTGACCGACGCCTTCCATTTATCCTTTGTCCCTCTCATTTGTCCCTTGTCCATGTTCTACATCTCTTGCTGGCATTAGTGTGTTTGCGGAACCATATTGAACCGTATACTCTCTATTTGTTTATTCCTCGCATATAATGGCACAGAGATATACATGCTTATAACTCTAATAAAATATAAATTTTAAAAAAAACAAAAAACATCTTTTTAAAATTTTATTTGAAGAATGCATTGGAGAGCCTGGTACACCTGATGTCTGCTTGACATAAATTGAGTTTCAACTAAAATATCTTTTGAAAGAAACAGCAGCTAAAAGGTGGAAGTGTATCTGCTGTTTAGGTAGGACAGGAAAAACAATCTCTTTTATAGGTTTTGTTTTACTTCATATTCTACATTAGGCAGTAGATACCAGTGTTAATTTTATTGACTAACAATTTTAGTGTCACAAAAATTCAACATTTTTGAGATTTAGTTGACTAAAATTTTTGAGATTTAGTTGACTAAAACTAGACTAAAAATAAAACAATTAAGATGACTAAAATACAACTAAAACAGCCTTTTAGTCAAAAGACTTTGACTAAAACTAAACTGAAATTTGCCGCCAAAATTAACACTGGTAGAGACTCCTTGTGTGTGCGCAAGATAAATAACATTTATCCCCACCAGTAACAAATGTCTGCTAGATAATACTCCAAATTCTCCATCACTAGAAATATCAACTTCGCATTTAGTTTTTTTGTGTCATGAGCATAAAGTCATCGGTGTGTCAAAATCCAGCATTGTTACAGTGAAATAATGCTGACCACTGCCTTCTGGGATCCAGGATACGGTTTTTCTTTTTAATATATACTGTGGTATTCAAAACATTCATCATTTATCTGTAACTAGGTTATTATACTGTGCAAGACTGTATCCTGGCTACGTGTAACTGTGAGCTGCACTCTTTAACTCCTGAAAATAATTAGTGGATTGCTGCAGATTACTTAATTATTTACTAAAGGCTGAAGTTGTAGCTGTCAAAAAAAGCAGTCCAAAAAATTGAGACAATTTCATCCAAAACTTAGTCTCCTTTAATTTGGATGAAATTTGTTATGAAAAATTAAAGCTAATTGCATTATCCAAAGTTATAAAATGCGTAACAATTGTGTTAGTGCATGTTTAATAAACATTCTGTGGTCCATGTTAGCCATTCAACAACAGTAGATAGATAGAGCAATGTTACACTTCTCCTACTCTGAGTGCAGAGCTTTAGGAGCAGAAAAAAAGAAAAATCGTAGCATGGGACCTTGGGACCAATGTTGAATTTTTGTGACACTATAATTGTCACAGGAATTCAGCATTGCATATCTGATTGTTGTAGTTATGAAAGAATGATTGCAAGGGGGATGCTTACTATATTTATAAATGTAGTGTTTAAATCCTGTATCAGAATAGTGCTACCAGACATGTACAGAATTCCCACTAGGCAGAGTAGGCACATGTCCAGTAGGGGGTGCATGTTTTAGGTACTTATTATTATTGTTATTGGTATTTATATAGCGCCAACCTATTATGCAGCACTTTACAATATTATGAAAGGGGGAAATTTTACAATAAATTAGACATTTACGAGGGCCCAACTGTCATGGAGGAGAGAAGTGTTTCACTCAAGCTCCTCAACAATCTTGGAATAAAAAGCATTTCACCGCCCCATACAGCATGACCTGGGCAGCAACTGGCAGCTCATCAGACTCCTGACCTGGCTGAGAAATGTTGCTGAGGTTGGTAACTCATTGGGAGCCCAATTGCCACACTAACAGAGGCAACAGGCGGGGGAGACTACTCCCGTGAGGCAAGCACCCCGTTACCCCTCCCATCCCCCCACCCTTGGACCGATGGGTCCCATTCAGGCAAGCTACCCTGATCTGAGAGAGGAACAGGACACAATTCTACTCCTAAACAACCAGACTAGCGACTCCACAATCATGGCAGAAGCCACGTGTCCCCCATCCGCATGTTGCCCAGACTGATATCCAGAACAGGCTGGACGCTATCTTTGCTGCTTTCTGACGAACACTGGAACGCTGAGCAGCTCAACCAGTCCTTCAACGATCAAATCACCCCTCACCCAAGCAGCAGGCTGCACGCACCAAAAAGCCCAGAATGGCGGTTGGAGGGAAAACCCAAGAAACCAAAGCAGAGGTTAGCAGCACTCCAACTAATACACTCACGCAGGAGCCACTGTTTGCACCGAATGCGGAGCACCGGGCCCCCACAACCTCAGCACTACCAACCTGACCCAAAGTTCTCTCTCATGTAGCACCGGATGGGCAATACCGCGGGACCGCAAATGCTCCAGGCCTAGACATACCTTAACAGAGTGGTGAGGATGCAAATGTTGACACACTTGGTGAGAAAGATTGAAGATAAGATTTTTGGTATGGAGCTGGACTCTCTACTCTGGCATGCCTGTGGAATCGGATGACTACTTCTGATGACCTACTCATGTACTGCGGACACTCTCTCAGTTGGGAAGAAAAGATATATGCTTTTATTATATGTCATGCTGATATTTTTCTTTTAAGCTAAATACTATTATATTAATACCTAAAGAGGTCAGATTGGGTAACAAGATCCTAACTTACTTTCTGTCATTTCTATTAAGATAAATGCTTTCTCTTGTTCTCGCACTAAATAACTATTTTTAACATGGCGACTGGCAACCCACTGGCCTCCCCGCATGTGATTATCTCATGTCTACTTGATTTCTCTGCTTGATACCCTAGCTTTAGTTTATATTCAAGTACAACAAGCTTACCTTCTTACTTATTAATTTAAAAAATGTGCTGACCTTTCAAATGCCATGCTTATATACCATTACATATGATGTGTTTGAGCTTGTATTTGCTGTTGTGGCACTGCAGGCAACTATGTATTTTTCAGCAAAGCAAAAATAAAGAATATAAAAATTAAAAAAATTAGACATTTACATAATGATACAGATAAAATAGTTAGAGAGGACCCTGCACAAATGAGCTTACTTATGTACCTTTTTGGAGCTTAGATGGGATGTGGGTAGAGCTAAGTACCAGGATCCTTAGCCAGTGTCCTCTATAGTCTAGTCAGCCTGAATTGTAGCACTAAAGGAACAGTTATAGAAGGGATAAAACTTAGTGCTGTCCCAGCTCCTCCAGTGCACAGGAAATGCCTGCAGGGGGTGCACAGTGTATAACTATTCCCGTTGCAAAATATTATCAATCGTAGCAGACTGATTGGACTATAGAAGACAAAGGAGCATGAGTACTTTGCATGTACCCTTCAAAACTACACCTCTACACCTGTTAATGGAGTGGTTTTAATGTGTATATATATATATCATACCCTGCTGCAGCCACACTGCTTAATTCCATGCCAATTTTTTGTCAGTTACAGGTTACCTGTTACATAGTAGTCTAGGTTGAAAAAAGACTTATGTCCATCAAGTTCAACCGTAAAACCCATGCTTTTATGTTGGTAATCCAAGGGAAGGCAAATAACTACTGTAGCCATTTCCAAGTATGCGACAAAAAGGGAAACAATACCTTCTTGATTCAATAATGGATCAGATTTCTCCTTTGATCAACAACCTGTTCACATACATATAAATTATATCCTGTAATATTCAGTTTTTGCAAAAGTGCATCCAGGCCTTTTATAAAAAATATCTATAGAATCTGATAAGATAACCATTTTAAGTAGAGAATTCCACATCTTTATTGTTTTACTGCAAATAACCCTTTCCTCTGCTGGAAGTGAAAAGGCCTTTCTTCCAGTCTCAATGAGTAACATTTTGTCTATTCCTGCTAATGAACAGGTTAGCAACGCTTTGTCTATTCCTACTAATGAACAGGTTAGCAACTAGCAGTTTGTACTCACCCTGTCAGTATAGTGCTTTCATATCTTAGGCGCCTTTATTCTAAACAATAATATTCAGTTTTCCAGCCTTTCTTCATAGCTAAAGTTCTCCATCCCCCTTATTTATTTTGTAGCTCAACTCTGCACTCTAGTTCTGCAATATTTTTGTTTAAAAGTGGTGCCCAAAATTGCATATTCAAGGTGAGGTCTTACCATTGATTTATAAATAATTTTGTTTATGCAGCCCTAGCCACAAATTCCTTGGCTGGGACTCAGAGCCCCCTTACACACTACCTAAAAACTAGTAAATTTTTTTAGCTTCCCTTATTGCAAAGTGTGTTTACTTTAGAATTTTTTATCTCATTGTTTGTTAATTTCATACAAGCACCTGCAGTTGCCTCTTATATGCAATTAAAGGCACAAATTAAGCACTAGTCACTACAAAGAAGTGTAGTTGTTATGGTGCCAGGAGTGTCATATGACCCCCCCATTATAAGCAGGCAAACCATTATAGAATGGTTTGGCATCTTACCATGGGTCTGCCGGTTGCTGCTCCCTGTGTCCACTGCTCCAGACAGAGACAGAGGCTCTTTATAAAAATAGCCATGTGAAACTTGGCTATCCCAATCAGATGGTCTCATTGAGACCATCTAATTAATACTGCGTAGCATTTTGCCATGTATGCACAATAGCCTTCCAATGCTTCCCTTTAGGAAAGCATTGGTTTGGCTGAGGTCACCAGTCTTGTGTGCTGCCCACGCTAATGCGAAAGCTAATGCAGTAATTGGCTGATAGTGTCAGCTGACCACTTTCAGCCTATCACAAGTCATTGCTATCATGAATTGATATGACTAAGGAATGTGTATTCTCTGCCTTAGAAATAACACCAGTTTAGGCTGGGCTATGTACACCCGTCAGCTCTTATTGAGGGTTAAACTGCTCTAGAAATGGTTTAACACAAATATGCAGATTAGGAGCAATTCAGTGTATAATTAAAACAAATATACACAAAAATTTCATCAACAATCATTAAAGGGACACTATATTCACCTTAACAACTTTATCTTAATGAAGCAGTTTTGGTGTATAGAACATGCCCCTGCAGCCTCACTGCTCAATCCTCTGCCACTTAGGAGTTAAATCCCTTTGTTTATGAACCCTAGTCACACCTCCCTGCATGTGACTTGCACAGTCTTCCATAAATACTTCCTGTAAAGAGAGCCCTATTTAGGCTTTCTTTATTGCAAGTTCTGTTTAATTAAGATTTTCTTATCTCCTGCTATGTTAATAGCTTGCTAGACCCTGCAAGAGCCTCCTGTATGTGATTAAAGTTCAATTTAGAGATTGAGATACAATTATTTAAGGTAAATTACATCTGTTTGAAAGTGAAACCAGTTTTTTTTTCATGCAGGCTCTGTCAATCATAGCCAGGGGAGGTGTGGCTAGGGCTGCATAAACAGAAACAAAGTGATTTAACTCCTAAATGACAGTGAATTGAGCAGTGAAATTGCAGGGAATGATCTATACACTAAAACTGCTTTATTTAGCTAAAGTAATTTAGGTGACTATAATGTTCCTTTAACTAAATGGTCCCCAGTTACGGCTGTTGTGAGACCTGAGAATGCATTGCTTAAAGGAAAATTGTTTGTAAAACAAAATATTAACATCATAAATAAGACAAAAGGCACTTAACGTTTGTTTTATTTTAAGATGGCCAATCCCCAGACAAGAAAAGGTAAACCAGAATAAGCACTGAAAATAGGTATTTTCTTATGTCTATGAAAAATAATGCACATGGAGGCTATAATAAAGGTATTTTAATTTTAAATAATAGAAAATATGATGGTATACCTTTAAAAGATATGCTACTTCCTTGAATACGACCCCCCACATACAAACAGTTGGTGGAGCTGCCCCACTCAATATTTTGAGACAGCATAGCAAGTTACCTGATTTGTCTGATTTGATCATCTGTCCTATACCATCCTGCACCACAGTTGTCATATTCATGAGCCCTCGCCTTGAATTAACCTTGGGCTTACTACCTAGACGCCACAGAGGTCCACAACTCGATAGGGAGCAGGACCATTAAAATAAAATTTCACATGGTTTCTGTTATTAGTTTTACACCACCAACAACCTTTTGCAGCTTTCATTCTTAAGCTACACCCTGCAACTTATGCAAAGGAATTACATGCCACCAGTCCACTCAGAATTAATAACATAATAAGTAACATGTTAACTGATCTCATAAAAATGTGCCAATAACTAGACTGCCACACTACTGTTTATCAATAGTGATGTCGCGAACCCGAAATTTTCGGTTCGCGAACGGCGAACGCGAACTTCCGCAAATGTTCGTGAACCGGCGAACCGCCCGAAACGCCATTGACTTCAAAGGGCAGGCGAATTTTAAAACACACAGGGACTCTTTCTGGCCACAATAGTGATGGAAAAGTTGTTTCAAGGGGACTAACACCTGGACTGTGGCATGCCGGAGGGGGATCCATGGCAAAACTCCCATGGAAAATTACACAGTTGATACAGAGTCTGGTTTTAATCCATAAAGGGCAGAAATCACCTAACATTCCTAAATCACAATGAATATGGATTGACACCTGACATATGACATATTGACACCTTGACATATGGATTGACACCTGTCCTCAGAGCCACTGATGCACACGGACACAGAGCAGAATAGAGACTGGTCCCCCTACATAGGGTCACTTGGCAGATATGGATTGACACCTGTCCTCAGAGACCATGATACACACTGACACAGAGCAGAATAGGGACTGTTCCCCTACATCCGGTCACTTGGCAGATATGGATTGACACCTGTCCTAAGGCCTGATACACACTGACACAGAGCAGAATAGGGACTGGATTGGGGTCACTTGGCAGATATGGATTGACACTGTCCTCAGAGACCATGATACACACTGACACAGAGCAGAATAGGGACTGTTACCCCTACATAGGGTCAACTGGCAGATATGGATTGACACCTGTCCTAAGGTTCCCTGGTACACACTGACACAGAGCAGAATAGGGACTGGTCCCCCTACATCGGGTCACTTGGCAGATATGGATTGACACCTTGTTACAAACTGCTATTTGTAACGGGCCCTTTAAATGGCAAATTGCCCTGCTTCCCTGGGTTGTGGAGAAGCCTATTTGCCAGCCTCCTCCCGCATGACTATGGCCCCTGGGAGATTGTGAAAATGTATGCACTTTTATTTGGTGTGTATGGCCCTTTAAGACTGTCGGTGGGCATATTGGGGCTTATGGACTCTTTATGTGACTGGTGCTGGCCCTTTAAACACCTTTTTTGGGACATCAGGAAGATTGGGACACTGCCCCTTTAAGGCCGTGTCCCCAGACTTGTTGGGGACACTGCCCCTTTAAGACGGTGTCCCCTGTGTCCCCAGACCTGGTGCAAACCCTTTATGCCTGCCTGGCTAATTCCCACTTGGTTCAGTAAATGGGGCTTACTGAACCCAGTACCACACATGCAGACCACCCAGAAGTGGAAGTGTGCAGGCAATTTACCTCCCAGAAGCTGCGGTTAACCGCAGCTTAATTGACAATGCTGGGAGGTCTTTGTTCGTTTGCCGAACACGTGGCGGCGGCCATCTTTGATCATTCGGCGAGGTCAGCGGTATGTGTAGCCAAATTCATGGAACTAAAATCGGCTACACATTTCCGCGATTTAGTCTTTTCAGCCTGAAATCTATGGAACTGTTTTGGGCAGGAAAATGTGCTTGCGGTCGGTCATAAAGGGACCTCCAGCTAACTTTTTAACCCCTGGATGGATTTGGCTGATTTTGGTTATGTTTATGTTTTAAGTGTGTTGATTCCAAATATGTAATTGTTATGAAGATGGGATGTGTAGTTTTAAAGTTACAGTGTATGGCTAAAAACTGTATTTTTACTGCCTGTGTTTAATTATGTTAATCTCTTCCCAAACGTCATTTCGTTCAAAGTGGAGAGAATGTTAAAAAAATATATTTTTGTTTGGAGTGTGAGAAATGCTTTTCAGCCGCTTCTAATCTTAAGCATCATTTGAGGAACCATACAGGAGAGAAACCTTATTTGTGGTGTGTTT